CCTTCCCTCGACCACCAGGATTGGAGGTCACGCCTCAAGATACGGACGAGAGATCATGGAGGCCTTCGCCATGCACAACAGTTACAGCAACTTCGGATCCCCGTCCATAGGCTTATCCAGGAGGGAGATAAACTTCCTGGGGCCAGAGCTGACGTCCCTCGTTTCCGCGGTTCCAAGCGATTAGATGTCTACCCCACGGGATCGCCCCTCATTTCCCTGGCTCTACACCCTCTCCCATCACTTTCCCACTTTCCAGTGTAGCGTCTTTCACCCTCCCCTCCTTCACCTATATATGCAAACTTCGGGTCAATAAATGTTGTTGCTAGTTGGAAGTCTTCGTTGTCCGTCCCCCCTTTCTATGTATCTTCCTCATGTCTAATTACCGTTACCAACACGCTCGTTTTGTTCTTAATCTTTAAACTTTGAATTTCGGTGAATTGAACATCTAAAAAATAAACTCCAATAAAACCCAAATTTTCAGCGAAACATCAACTCCGAAAAACGCCCTCCTAATTTAGCAGAAAAGAAAGTGAAAACACGGAATCCTACTGATATATACATAGAGCTAATAAACACTAGAGGCTCAGCTGGCGCTAATGTCTATGGGACTTCCGGTTGCAAATTGAAGCAGACAGCATGCAGTCTACTTTTCCAGTCTTCCTGTGTGTTCCTATGAGAAAACGCACGTGAATTTTGTCTCGTAGCCGGAAAATAACATGAATAACTTTTGTTATTTCGGTTGTACCGGATAGTATGTACCTTTATTAATATTGTAAAAGTGTAATTGCTTTAGTTACAGCATTTTTCTTTACCACTGAACGATGTTAAACTTCGCTATATTCAGGCCCAAACCTCTGTTCCATGGCAGTTATGTAGAAACAAGCGACGATTCTAAGCAAAATAACGATCGAAAGGAATGTAGAGTGTGTTCAAAGTTCGCCAGCATTCCGTTGGTGCTTATATATTGCTAATATGCCTGTCCTCTCACTATATGAAAATGACCCCGTCGTGCATCGTTACGAGTGGTTAAAAAAACGTTCGAAACGTAAAGAATAAAGTACGTGGGCTACGAAAGGTGCGTTTTCTTATTATTTTCTATGCTGGGCAATTTTTATCGCGCACCTGTTTTCTGCCTTCCCCCTATTTGCAAAGATTTGGAGCGTGCGGGTGATGATTTCAACGCAGAACAAGCATCTTAGCACATATTCATGAGCAGAAAGAATAAAGCAGTACCTTTCATCGCAAATAAGACTATATTACGTGACTTTATATTTATTTTGATTGTCTGCAAGCACATGGAGTTCCTTATCCAGTGTTACTGCGTATTTCTTGCCGTCTCTCTTCGTTTTCCACATGTCCTTCGTTCGTTTGGCACGTATATCCCCCATGCTGGAAAGCGCCGAGGTTGTGTTCGCGCTAACAGTGTCCGACAGTCTACATAAGTACATGAACGAAGCGGCTTGAGCACCGTTTTTCATGCCATGATTTTAAAATAAAAACGCCCCAACTGGGAAATTATTTCATCTGCGTGTCTGAGAAATGTTCCAATGTGCCTAGTAGTAGGTACGATTTATTCGTGATATTTGCTCTTATAATATAGCGCAGAGAGGAACTGCACTCGCTTTTTTCCATAGAAATTAATTACCGGAAGTCAATCCCGGACTGTTTGCTGTCTGCTTCAATTTGCAACAGTTCACTAGCGCCAGTTGAACCTCTAGCGTACATTATAATAACTCAATGGATATATATTGTTTTTACATGTATCTTTATACACTTTGTACATGTATAAATTAAAGGTTTTGTCTCTGAACGTATGAAAGCATATATTTTATGATAAGCAGGGTGCCATAAAAAAAAATGTACAGGGTTCTTTTCACCGCAAAAATAAACTAGGCGTCGCCGAGCGCTCATTCTCCGCCCAAAAGTAGTGCTAGCGATCACAACCAGATGCCAAATTTTCATCCCGATCCGATACCTTATTCAAAAGTTATTTTCTGAAAATTTAAATTGGAAAATGGAGCCCATTTTTGCCTGTTTTCGGTTTCTGGTTCCACAGAGCCCCATGTTTTCGAAAACTCCGTCGGCCACCATTTTTCCATAGAAATTTTCAGAAAATCACTTTTGATTGTGTTATCGGATCGGGCTGAAACTTTGGCATCTGGTTGTGACATACAGCGCTACCTTTGGTCGGAGAATGAGCGTTCAGCGATGCCTGGACTATTTTTGCGGTTTAAAAACCCTGTAATTTTTTTGTTACACCCGGTCTGTATATTAATAGCTGTGATGCTCTCTTGATGATACCATAAAAAGTCATAAAATTATTTTGAATCACTAATGTATACAGCTGTACGAAGTGTATTATACTGTGTACCATATGTAGAAACTGCAAAAAGGACAGAAACCTTCGCCAGGCATTTTTTGCCTTTAATCTGTGTTCCCCTCTCGTCTGATCCGATAGAAATAAACTTCAAACATCAACCTTGTTTTAATTACACTGATTTTGTAATTTCTGGTTATGCCCAAAAATGTCTAAACTCAAAGTATACCTTCCAACTTAGTAACTTCAAAGGAAACTACTCATTAAATAAATAATAACCTAATCCTCGCGAACGTTAATTATTTTAATAGGTCCTTTGGCAGAGACTACTATACGACAAGGACTTTGTTCTTGTGTGACGCCAAGTTTTCGTATGTGCGGCTGGGCAGACGTTCCTCGAAACACCCTGCATGCCTAAAATAAACCATACCAGGGGAAGGATCGGTGGCGGAGTGGGCTGACGCACACGACCTCGGAGCACGTAGAGCGAAAGCTCGCGCTGCAGATCCCATCACCCTGGATTCCACCCCGCCCCTGCCCGTTTCGATCTGGATGAGCATTGTACCGGCGTGCACTCGTGTATCACTACTGCGTGATGCACGTTAAAGACCCCAGGCTAGCGGTTGTACTGCACTGGCTAAATTGCTCATCTACAGCTGGGAGACTCGTCACTCATTGAGGCAGACCAAGTTCTAGGCTGTATAAACATACACACAACCCAATTTTTTTAATCCATACCAACAACCGCTTTCTTCGCGCCGACGTCTTTGTTTGCTCTGCTGTAGAAGGTTTCATGGATATGCGCGGTAGTTCTTTTTTCTGCGAAATGTCCACAGCCCATCACTCTAGCAAAAAGCCTGTGCGTCTACTTTCACGCACGACACTCAGAGAACCAATCAGTGCAACTTACGGAGGCAACTCAGCGAATGACAATGCCGAAACATATGTTGAGACCCAAAAACGCAGTCTCAGTTGTTACATTAAGCAATGCAAAACGTCACGCTTGCATTGCTTAACGTCACAACCAGGGTGTAAGATAGACAGGTGGGGAAACGGCCCATAGAAGCCTACCGCAGCGCCGTGACCGGATTGTGTACTCGTCTGCTGGCATTTATAGTGAATTTAATTAATGTTTTGGTTCACGCTTTCTTGCATTTTTATGCGTGTATTAATAGTCCTTTTCAATAATCAATCTTCAGAATGAGGCATTTGAACGTGGGGCACGTACACTTAATCAACTATAGTCGGTTGCAAGCTAAGAAAAAACCGGAAATGCCTCTCAGAGGAAAATGTAATCCTACGCCGAGAAACGCCAGCCAATCGTTTTCATGACGTCACGATTCCGTGGACCAATCGCGATCCTTTTGAAAAAAAGAACTCAACATGGCTGCTGGCCTTAGCAACGCGATGCTATAGTTTCTAGTGACAATTATTCTGCTTTTTTGCACCGTGTTTTACGTGCCCGATGTTACGCCACGAAATCTTAATGGTATCGGCTTGCGTTTGCAGCAGTTTTTGCGCGACAACGTGAGAATCCAGCGACGCTATCGCCAACGAAAATTTCGAAGCGGGCGCGAGGCTTAGCACTGCTGAGAGCTATGTTAGACGGTATGTTAGACAGTATCTTGGACAGAAAATGAATGGGGAAGACGGTACATTGGACATGACTTTCTTTCTTTACTAAACAATTTAAATGTCCTGAATGAATTAAATAAATATTGTAGTAGTTTAAGACACGTTTCCTGGAGGAAGAAAAAGCAACGTTGCTAGCGAACTTTCTCGACAGCGGACGCACTTCAGATGGGCGCAATGCGCTTGTGGGTGGAGCTAAAAGATTGTTCTCAGGTTGCATCCGTCTATAGAACCTCGAAATTCTCACATATCAAATGGCTTCCAAGAAGGCTTCTCGGGTATGCATGAACTGTTATTGCGCAACAAGCAGGCTCTATTGATGTAACAAAAGCAAATCAAGCGCCTTCGACACTATTTGGACCACCGCGCGTAAGAGTGGGAAAGCCTGTAAAGCGCTCACTTCCGGGACAAGCCGCTTACATCCAATGGCTTCATACCCGTTTGCTTAATGCGCCATCCAGACCTCTTGTGGAGATCAGTGGTTCTGTCGGTTGTTATAAATAGATAGAAATGAAAACACTAGCAATATTTTTTCGCTTATAAATGAATGAGTGCCGTCGAAACTTTTTTTCTAAAGCGACTAGAGATTTAGAGATCAGATGTTTAGAGATTGAGATCACGAATAGTCAGTTTTGTTTCCAATAGGTGTAAAATTATTTTAAATACTATTTTTTTTCTTGATTATCGTGCCATTATTTCATACTCTCATGACGTCCAACCGAATTACATTGCTTACCTGAACGTAATTTTTCTACACATCAATATATACATCTGATCCTTACATTTGCTGCTAATCGATTTTGAAATGAAGCGCAGTGTATACGGCAGCCACACTGGTGATGGTCGTCCCGACTAATGTGGTGGACCACCATGGGGCGTCCAACGTCAATGAGTAATCATCCATTGTTATTTTTTACGTAACAGTAATTAAAAAACAATATTGTTTATTGATATCTCTGGCACACAAACACATTGCAGACGCATGAGCGAGGTCAGCTGTTTGGTTACTCTAGATAAGCTTTGATATCTGACAAAGCAACGCAGTGCGCGTCTACCACAACGAACATTTTAGGGTCCTGTTCATGGGACTTCCTGACGGACAGTTGAAAGCCGAAGCGAACGCGGCCATGTTACCCATAGGAACGTTGATTCTGTAACAAAAGGAAGAACGTCGTGGTTTAGTGATCTACTTGCCTCGATAGTAAAAATATTTGAAGCCAAAAAAAGAAAATATTCGTTTTTCATGCAAATATCGGTATCCGCGCCCATATTTCTTCAGGGTGCGAGATAAGCTCATATTTCACTCCAATAATGCAACGCGCGGGTATCACTCGCGACCCACGCGTTGCTTCATGGAACGTTTCCCATAATGACGTCCCACGGTGTTCACGACGGTGACGAGGGTTACGAGTGACGTCACGGGTGACGTCAAGAAGGTCACTCGTGAAGGTCATGACCTTCACGAGGCCTTCACGAGTTACGTCATGAGGTTCACTACGGTCCCGAGTGACGTCACGAGGGGGAGGGAAAGAGGGGCCGGAGTAGGGGGAGGAGGAGAGGAGGAGAATAAGACGAGGAGGTGGAAGAAGCAGCATCGAAGAGGGGAGGAGGAGAGGAGTAGGCAGGAGGACGAGAGGAGGAGGAGATGATACGAAGAAGTAGGAGGGCATACCCTCCTCTCTGTACCCTTCCCTCCTCCCCCTCAAGACCTGCGTTTTAATTTGGAATTACAGAGAGTTGTAAACGTCTTTATTTATTATCTGCTTGTAAGGAAACTAAGAAGGTAATTATGTTCGATAAAAGTTACTAACCTATTGCTCACCTGTATTTTGCCGGAATTGTAGTGCCGTGAAGAATCTGTTTCTTAAGAAAGTCGTCCGTCTGTTCTTCGCAAAAACCCTGCAGCAGATTGTTCCAGTTTTGGTTAAGAAACACAAACGATACAATTAAACTTGTTTGCGTACCAGACCGTAGGATACAAAGAATAGTTGTTCCAGGTTGAAGTTTTCCAGGCCTGAAACTACGAAGGGTCGTTCATCCAGGTCCATATCCTTCACCGTTTGAAGAAAGGCCTACACAAGAAATGTGTATAAATGGACGTAATTTAGCACGGTAAACGTAAATATTTTTTTTATAATTTTAACATGCATCATAGTCAACGGCCAGCTTAAGAAGCGCAGGGTTGTGTCGAGTTGCAGAAACATTTTATTATCGCTGAGGTGCCACTAGGATCGCGGCATCGGCCCAACACTTCTAAGGCTGTCAGGGACTGTAATGAGGGTCACTCGGCAACACTACGTTAAACAAATTTTTAGATAGGAGTAGATGTCCTTAAAACAGCAACCCAATTTGATTCGACACCGGAACAGGTATTATAGTAAATCCAACCAGCGTTCCAACACCATCACGCACCGCAGGGAAGTTCGTGCGTAAAAAAGATTTAAACATAATGGTAATTAAATTACTAGAATGTCTGAATTAGTACAGATTTGTGAGCGCACTAACTATCAAACTATTCAATTCTGCCGGGAAAATGGCATCACTTGATAGTAAAGGACACACGGACAGTATTCTCGTGCTCCGTGCAAGAATATTATATAGACATTTATTAAGAACCATCACTCAAGAGAACACGTTCCTGGAAATGGAAATCTATTCTAATTCAATGATTAATAGCTTGATCATGTTTTTTATTGCTTGAGTACTTGAAAATATTGCATATTGAAGGCTGCGTGACTGTTTTTTTTTTTTTTCTGCTGGCACTTTTCTGTTTAGTTTATTAGGTCAGGACGCTTATTCATATTGCGCGTTCATATTTTACTCCAACACGTGTACTAAACAGCTTGTTTACTGGATTTTGATTGCGACTCTAAACTTCCTAGTCATACTTCTGCCCTCGTGATCACGCTAAATATTATAAAAGATTTCACAAGTAATTAGTCGAGTCAAGACTCGACTAATTGCCTTCCTGGCACACACCGCTCGCATATTTTTTTTATCAAATAAAAAAACGAAACGAGCTTGATAAGTAATCAGCTTCAAAATAAATGTCGAAATGCTTGCCTCGAATAAGACCTCTGCAGCTGCATTGTCGGCGATGTTCACATCGGTATTTCCCGAACTGGTGAGCTAAAAGCAAAATTTTATGTGCAAGGTTAGTGTGTGAAGTATGAAGTTTTAACACCAGGAATGTGCACTCTCGTGTTAAAAAAGCAACAAAAAACATATAGAGCTATATTCGTTTGTGTTTAATTTGACATCAGATTCCGCATGCTATTAAAAACATGTCTTACAGTACTAAGCAAAATAAGCTCTGCCTGCTCTTACACCGGGTCGACGTAAAATAAATTATACCACGCAGTCCAGCACTCCTAAACAAAAGAGAAACAGTCATTAACATCTTCAATAACGTGTCCACGAGCATGTATGCTTTTTTTCGTGTACCCAGTAGCTAATTGCCTCCCAAAAGTTAATAAATACATCAACCGTTTATGGAACGCAGCTAAAGCTTAGGCAGAGCTGCATAATTATTGTGATACGTATGTTAGATCAACGCCCGAAACGTCCGCCAGCATGTTCTGAATAGCTGCCTTGAACGTGCAGCCTAAAAATAAGTCACCTAACGGAGAAGCGTCTCTTGAAGTCGTATTATGTCGCTTACCCTTAGGTGCAGTTTTCTGTCCACAATGGTCTTGTACTGCTCCATGAAGCAAGACTGCACCTGGGCGTAGCGATACTGCGTCTCCTCACTCCACCAGTTCCGATACGTATTGGACACGGTAAAATGAGAACCTGCGGTGGGGAATAAGGGAATTAAAACAGTAAAATTCCACAGCGCAAGAAAATCTCATTTTCTTTCGGCATTCGGTGGAGCGGGTAAGGGGGCATGCAGTTCGAAGTAAAAAATAACTTCATTCACACTTTTAATGTTGCGTGTGTTTTTTTTTTTTTTTTTTTTTTTTTTTTTTGTTGTTGTTTTTTTTGTGTTTTTTTTTTTTTTTTTTGTCAATTACGAGAAAGGGAAAAGACGGAACTGAAACCTGAAGAGTCGTCTTCACGATACAGGCGTGTTTGTACGATCATTTTTGGAGATCGTCAGCTCTATGATAACGGTCCGGCTCAAGCGCCAGAAACTTACCCCTCCTGTCGATTGCGGCGAGCATGGCGTGCGCGATTCTAGATCCAGGTCTCGCCACGCCAATTATTCTGCAGTAACGCGAAATATTAAAATGCGATTATTAAAAATGTACTGAAAAAATTTTAATTACCCTATTAATTTATGTTGGTTTAGGATTACTGCTTTTTAAACGGGTAGCTTCGAGATTTCCCTATCTCTTGTAAATAAATGATCCCCCTTCAAACAACAAATAGTGCCATCCCTGCAATAAACGTGTAAATAAATTCATTCGCCTGATTAACAACTCATGGGTTAAAAATTCAAGCTAAAGCCGACTCCCGAACCAGTTAAGATTATGTTAATGACCCTAGTCATGCCGCTCTTTGGGTAGAGATATTGTGACGCAGTAAGGTGAAGAGGAAATTTATAATCAACTGAAAAGAAAAGTACACAGCGCTCCGTTTGTGTACTTCTTCCTGTCCGTGTCTTTTTGCGCTGTTTTACCCTTTTAAAATGCATCGCCAACTCGCCCAACTTACCACTGAAAAGAAAGGTTTAATCAGCAAACTTGTGTCAAAAAGAATAAAGAACGAGCAACGACACCGCACAAAAGCGGGCGACGATTTGGCGGCGTAGCAGCAAGCGAGAGCGAGACTGACTCGACAAGGTCCCGCTCAGCTTCTTTTCTGGAGTGCGTGACTTTCTCGAAAATTCGCCAAAGAAGCTTCGAGTGTCCCTAGCTCGGGGTGATAATGATCAGGTACTTTCGAGAACAAGAAGCTACGAAAAAATGATGAAGGTTACGCCCCGAGTAAGAATAAACGCGAATCTTCTAGTATTCTGTTAACGAGTGTGGCGTGTTCGGCCCTGCGCGCGGTAATATCACGGCTCTGTCATTCGAAGTCGAATATTCTTCTAAATTTTAATCATTCTCTTTTTGTGTACTGATGAAACAGGCACAGAAGGCGTCCTCTAGAAAGCTCAGCTTATTGCCACGACACCCGTAACAGGTTAGAACAAAACCAAACACACTGTCCCGAAGTTTTTTTTAACCGGTCTGTTATTTTTTTTTCTTTGTCTCAGGGTTTATGTTATGTCGTTTTCTAACCAGCTGGCCTGCATATTCTTGCTCCTTGCGATTCCCAAACTTTCTTTTTGTTTCCCAAATGCCAGGAGATTGATTTAACAAACTTAGCTTGCGGTTGACACCACGCTATCCCAGCTACTTGTCTCAAAATGTTTTTCATCAAACTGAACTGAGCAGACATTAATTTGCAAGACGGTGTTCTATTCAGTCTTTATAAATTATCAAATGACAATTTCTAGTATAATCTCCTCTTAATAAAGATTAAGTGAACTTTTAAATAAAAAATGAAAGCCGTTTACAACTCCCTGTAACACCGAATTGGAGCGCAGCTCTTGAGGAGGAGGAGGGAAGGGTACTGAGGGTTACCTGCTCTCGGGGCGGGGGGGGGGGGGGGGTCATGTGACCTTGGGGGGTCACGTGACCCCCCAGAAAAAGTTTTCCGCTAGATTTAGCGGGGAATTTTTTCCGCTAGATTTAGCGGGGAAGTTTATCCGCTAGGTTTAACGGGAAAATTTTTCCGCTAGACAGCGGGGAATTTTTTCCGCTAAATCTAGCGGGGAAATTTTTCCGCTAGATTTAGCGGGTTAATTTTTCCGCTAGATTTAGTGGGGCATTTTTCTCGCTAGATTTAGTGGAGAAATTTTTTCGCTAAATTTAGCGGAGAAATTTTTCCGCTAGATTTAGCGGAGAAATTTTTCCGCTAGATTTAGCGGGAAAATTTTTCCGCTAGATTTGGCGGGGAATTTTTCCTGCTTAATCTAGCGGGGAAAATTTTCCCGCTAGATTTAGCGGGGAAATTTTTCCGCTAGATTTAGCGGGGAATATTTTCCGCTCCATTTAGCGGGGAAATTTTTCCGCTAGATATAGCGGGGAATTTTTCCCGCTAGATTCTTCCGCTAGATTTAGCGGAGAAATTTTTCCGCTAAATTTAGTGGGGAAATGTTTTCGCTACATTTAGCGGGGAATTTTTCCCGCTAGATTTAACGGGGAAATTTTTCTTCCGCTAAATCTAGCGGGGAAAATGTTACCGTTAGATTTAGCGGGGAAGTTTTTCCGCTAAATCTAGCGGGGAAATTTTTCCGCTAGATTTAGCGGGGAATTTTTTCCGCTAGATTTAGCGGGGAAATTTTTCCGCTAGATTTAGCGGGGAATATTTTCCGCTAGATTAAGCGGGGAAAATTTTCCGCTAGATTTAGCGGGGAATTTTTCCCGCTAGATTTTTCTGCTAGATTTAGCGGAGACATTTTTCCGCTAGATTTAGCGGGGAAATTTTCCCGCTAAATCGAGCGGGGAAAATTTTTACGCTAGATTGAGCGGAGAAATTTTTCCGCTAAATCAAGCGGGGAAATTTTTCCGCTAGATTTAGCGGGGAAATTTACCCATAATGCACCGCGCGGTTACGCCGACGGCGACGCCGACGCCGCTCAAGCCGGAAACGGGCCCCTAAGAGCTGCGCTCTAAAACAGTTTATGCTGGCATGTCGGGGTTAGAGCACTATATAGCTCCTACGTGGCAGAGTAGCGCAATCCTTTTATCAGCGTGTTTCGCCTACAGCATGGCCGACAGAACAACTCGGCGCGAGTCACGTGGTACGTAGGGTTCCAGGAGGCGGCCCGCCCTATGGGAGAATACATGGAGATCGACTCAACACGACTGGTTAAAAAATAAACGCCAAGTTCACACTTTTCGAAACAAGTCTGTCGTGAAGTTGGTAAAACAATAAACACTTTATCAAAGTTTCAATAATATTGGATGCGTGTGAAAATTTTGCGAAGGCAATTTTCAAAGCAATGGCGTTTGAAGCAGACGATTGTTTTACGCTGCGGAGATGGACTTATGGATTGGCCGGAGCGGGTCACGTGAACGGTGTGACGTCGCCGCGTCGTCTGCTGCAAAATGCGGCTCAGGCAAATTAAAAAAAAAAAAATTAAGTTATTTCATGGCGCACAACTTAGCGCAAATTATTGTAAACTATTTCCTTATTATGTCAAAAACTATTGTCGTTCCATAGATCGCCAAAATAATCAGGAAGCAGCGATTTACCTACGTTAACCCATACATTTGTGGCCGGAGTTGGAACCCTCGGGTGTTCGCCGCTAGTCGCCGAGAGACGGCGTTCTAGATTGCGGTACTCTGCTCCGAAGGAGCTATATAGTGCTCTAGTAGGGGTTATCCAGCGGGATTACGTAGTTATGCTTACGCGTGCCTTTTTTATAGTAAGTGGGCCTACTTACGCAGATATGTCAGAATGGAGGACTGGTTCGCTGAACAGGCCCATCGGCACGACTGAAAACTTAAGGAGTTTAGTGTGCGGCACCTCTAGGTGTTAAAATAAAACAAAAATAGATATCATATCATACTTACACAACGAATTGGTCTCACAGTCGTAAGTGCACTCGACATCAAAAACAGAACCCTGCCATCTGTTGCGAACAAAAACAGTAGTTAATGGGTTTATCCTTTTTAAAACTTAAGATATATTTACTTGAATAATAGGGGCGCTGTTTATAAACAAAGCGGGATCGACAGAAGGATTGATACTTTCCAGCAACTTACGCAACACCTCTCATCACATAAAAATTAGATCTTCGCTGATCACATTTTTCCTAAAACAGATTTTTCAACATCGGTCGCTTCTATACGTAGAAGGCAATGACTGGTTTCATGGTTTTATGTGTACTGTGCAAAAAACTAGATGCGCAGAACTTGTTTACAAGTGGTACATCTATGACTCAAGTAAATGGAGTTCTGCCTATGCCCGCATACTTAACTTTTATCGTACATTTATTTCGATATATGCACCTTATACTTTTCTAAATAGTAGAGGTGGGCTATAAGTATCACCCGTCTTTGACCTTCATGGTAGCGCACACAGAAGTTAGGGATTTTCTCGGGGCAAAAGGAGTGCAGCGAATGAGACGGCACCGATAATATACGGGCGCAATTATAAAATATAGGCGGAGCATTTTGAACGGATGAGCTTGCGCACAAGATAAACTTTACGGTGTAAGAGCCGTATCAACGTCTTCTCAATTTCTGCACGCCTTTCTGCACGCCTTCTATTTAAAGGCCTACGTACATCCTGGGTTTCCGCAGGGAAAACAATCCTCTTAGCGTTTCCCGTCGCCTAAGTTGCGAGGGGAGCCAAGTTGGGGCAAGGTAAAAAGTGGAGAGGGTATAGGAAAGGAGAGGTCAGGCGAGAGTGGAAAGCGCGAAGTGTACGTCGGCCTTTAAGTGAAGGCTACCGGCTTTTTAGATAACCTGCGGAGAGGCGAACACGAGCGCTTTATTTATTCATCGTTCTAATGTTTGCAAAATTACAGCCCTGCGTGCGTCAGTTCTCACAGCCCAAAATGTCCATCCATGTTCGTCTCTTCGGAAAGCGAGCGAGGCATGTGCCATACGAAGGAACACTCATCATGCCACCGGCCAGAGGCTCATTACTAGAAATGTCTTATTGGAAAGGAGGACAGACCGTTACGCCCCAAGCGGCAAACTTTAGAACTACACGGATGAGGACAACAAATACAATGACTCAGCGCTCGGAGGACATAACCGAACGCGGCGTCATTGTTCGGCTGGAGTTCGTGTTCTCCCGTGAGGGGAGGAAGGTCTCTTTTGTTACCACTTCAGCCTGCATGAACAATGCAGCATGCACGGTGCCCAGCTCAGCACAAAAGCCCAAGTGGGTCAAGCTCGCATTCCCTGAAGACTGATTTCGGGATAGATCCGGCACTTAACGTCACTTCGTCGATTGTTAGTATTTTTATATTACACTGCACCCCGTGCTCTATTGTAGAAGATGACATGGACATGCCCATAAGGCCTGTGGGCATGTGCACATTCCTTGTGTTGAGTAAACACCAAGGTATGGGGACAACAAACGGGTCAGAGCGCCCCCTATAGTTCGATTTCCTGCCCAATAGGGCTCGTGATTTTGCAGATTTTCTCATTATAAGAACAGACATTTTGCCTAGCCGCGTTAGGTGTCACTGTTCGTTTTCAAATACTCTAAATGTGTGCCATTATGAACACCTCGGAGTTATTACAATCGACAACCGTTGCACTCACTCTTGGTCGATTGGTCCTTTTCCATATTTTGACCAGTAATACCGCATGCTAGACCTTCGCAGAACGTAATAACTCTCCGCAATTTCCTTGCGGTTGACTGTTGTCTAGGAATGGCATACCCAAAAGAGAGAAAAAAAAACATGAAGTTAACTTTTCTAAAAAAAGAAAGGCAAATTGAACAGACATGCACAAAAATCAGTACTATCAACAAAGCATTTTACAAACCCCGCATGATTTAAATTTGCTAGTAACTATCACCCGTATTCACCAGGCTGTTTAACCACTGACTAGTGACGTCATCGACTGAAATGATCACGTGGCGAGCGATAGTCTCCGCTAAGTGAGTGCTTGGTATTCACCGGTTGTGTTTAGGGCCTAGTCGCCCCGCGCGACTAAAGGCCCGTTCCCACTCTTGCGACCGACTTCGACCGAGAGAGACCAGACCGGTTTTTAAGCCTCTTGCGACTTCTTAGGACCAGCTCCGCTGCTTCGCATCCGGTCCTAAGAAGTCGCAAAAGGCTTAAAAACCGGTCTGGTCTCTCTCGGTCGAAGTCGGTCGCAAGAGTGTGAACGGGCCTTAAGACAAATCTTAGTCATCGGATAGGGCTAGTTTAGCCGGTGTTTAGCGGGTGACTAGCGGCTCAGCGCCATGGCCGACTCGTTTTCACCGCTGACCGCCAGCGCTAACAAAGCAAATAACGTTAAAATGTTCAGCGGTCAGAGATATCCAACGAGCTTGAGTCTTACCTTAGAGCGGTAAACCGGAACCCACTGCCTGCAGCGGAAATGGCACCCCCCCCCCCCCCCCCCCCCCGGTTGCCGCCATATTGCCTGTTTGCCACATTTGTGATCACGTGACGTTAAGATGGCTGCGCTTAAAGGTGGGCCAGATCAGATTGGCCAGATCGCGGTCACCAGATGGGCACTCTGGGGCTGCGTTCGAGTCTTACTCGAATGGCGCCGAGTTATTCCGGCGGATCAAGTCACGTGACAAGACAGATGCAGCAACTCTGGACTCGGGTAGGTTTTCGGACGCAACGGGTACGAGAGCTTCACCCAGGAGTGAGATAGAAGCTGCGTTCGATTTACGTCCTCCAGCACCGGAGCAAAAAAGTGTGGGTGGTGTACTTCCGGTCGTATCTTAATACATATACCGGAAGTAGACTGCCTACACTTTTCTGCACCGGCGCAGGAGGTACAAGTAAATCAAACGCAGCTTCTATCTCACTCCTGGGTGAAGTTATCGTACCCGTTGCGTTCGAAAACCTACCCGCGTCCAGAGTTGCATCTGTCTTGTCACGTGACTTGATCCGCCGGAATAACTCGGCGCCATTCGAGTAAGATTCGAACGCAGCCCCAGAGTGCCCATCTGCTGACCGCGATCTGGCCAATCTGATCTGGCCCACCTCTGGGCGCAACCACCTTAACGTCACGTGATCACTAATGTGGCAAACAGGCAAGATGGCGGCAACCGGGGGGTGCCATTTTTGACCGCTGGTTTACCGCTCTAAGTTTACTCAAGCTCGTTGGAGATATCGCTAAAAAGATCTCAGCAGGGCGCTGGACGACGAGAAAAAAGCGCATTTACGGACGCTTCCTTATTTGTTTATGTCGCTGACAATGCAGCTTCCGTGTTCCTCCCTGGCGTTGTTTTTAAAATTTTCTTTGTAAACTCTGTCTCGGGCAATATGTCTCTCATTGGAGCTTTTTTTTTTTTCTAATAAACATTTAAAGTTTAGTTTTTATACGATAAAATACGCATTTGCTCAGAGGCGTTTGAGTATGCATATGCGTGACCTATCTTTTTACGTCACTTCCGCTTGTTAGTTCTGACTAGTAATGGGACGAATCTTTATCCGAATCGAGATTCGGAGCCGAATCTGAAGATTCGGAAAGATTCGGAAAAGTAGCCGAATCTCAAGAGATTCGGAAAAGTTCGGAAAAATTCGGAGCGTTGCCAGGGTTGCCATGGTGTCCAGATCACGTTGATGAGTGTTCCAAGTTTTCGTGATATTCAATTCAATAAATTCTACAAAGTGCACAAATATTGTTGTAATATAATATCATAGTAATAAATAAACCTTTTCGCACTGTTTATAATATTTCGGATGTTTGTCGAGAACGGTAACCAGACATCGCGGGAAAATTGGTGTCGGTTCCGGATTGCGACCAAAATAGGCATGCTTGGTGCACGTGGAAATATAAGCGCATGTTTTCATCGTACCGGCAGCACCGGCAGTACCGGCAGTACCGGCAGTACCGGCCGGCGGTTCGGCCAGTTCGGTGACAGTCGGTTGTGGGGCAGGCAGGTTGACGAGAGTTTCTTGGGCACCAGGAACCTCCGGTGTTGTCGGCGGGGTCATGGCAGTGACCACCGCGGCTGCCCTTGCGGCGAAACGCAAGCGCGATATGTTCCTCGTGGATTTCGTCAGGCTTGGCGTGGCCGCCCCAGCTCGGCGGGATTCGGCGGACGTGCAGCCGGTGCAGCGGCGGGTCGACAGAGCGAGGTGATGTTTACGCGAAGATCACGTTCTCGTACTCCGGGATCACGTGTCCGGGATTCCCGCAGTCCGAAGACGTCCACCGTGCTCGTCCGAGGTTCGCAGCAGTCCCCCCCCCCCGCAAGAGGTGGATGCCGTACGTGCGTGGTTCAAACCACGACCGGGTTCAAACACATTTCGTGCCCATAATTACGGTCATAGTAGCAGATTGTCTTCAACGTGTGTCCACTGCGGTATTGTTTTCGGAACACGGGAAACAATCTAAAACTTCTTGCGCTGTACTATTCTCCTGTGCTGCATTTGTACCTTTCTGTTTAATGATACGGTGTCTGAATTAGTTAGTGTCTGTTTCTGAACAATAAAGCTGCGTTGGACACCCCTCTGTTGTTTCTTTTTCATCAAATAAAGTTTACGTATACAAAACTTGCTGCCGAGAACGGAAAAACGACAGTGCGACGTTTTTCTTCGGCGGTGTCGGTACGCGGTCGAAGTTGGGATGAGCAACACTTTTCGTCGCACTTGCGTCTTACGCAGCTTTGGAGGAGACGGATCATTTCCTTGCCTAAATATATTTATTGCGCGTTGCGCCACATAATACAGAGCATTTTGCTACATTTTACTTTACCGATCACCGCGAAACCGCGCAGAAACCGAGACCGTGCATTGATTAGACCTACGCCAACCACACCGTATGGTGGCTCGAGCCACCCTACACACCGATCAGCTCCGCTGGACCTGGGCGCGTGCCAGGGTTCAGAATTACAGTACAGTACATACCATACGTCGAAGTAAACAAGAGAAATCTGGTTATATGAAGTAACAGTACCTAAAAAAAAAACGGAACTGACAGCATTCGCGAGGTTTACGAAAGGGTTCACGATGCCGTCTGCAACCAGCGACGAATCTCCGAATCTGCCGAATATTCGTCGCGAGAAGTTCGGAAATTTCCGAATCTGTCCGAATCCAAATCTCCGATGATTCGTCCCATCACTAGTTCTGACTAGATAGTCACCCGCTCGCTTCGCGCTCATGAATACCGCAGAACATCATCGCTCGTTAGTCGCAGATTTCTCGTTTAGCTCGCGACTACTTAGTCCTGCTACTAACCTTAAAACTGCGCTAGTTAGTCGCGCCTGGTGAATACGGGTGTATATCTTACAAATAAAATGCCTCCAACTAAAGAAATGACTCTGTACTATCTTAAAACCTTTTTTAAAGAACATGTTGCAATGTGATGTATGAGTTTAAGACGTAAATTACTTGGCACCGAATGAACTAAAACATTTTATTTTTTAAACAAAAGTTACTACAAATATCACCTGGCTATAGAGCTGTCCAAGGCGCTCCTCTTCGTTGATCCAGTGCGGATGAAAAATGTGAACCTTCATTGTCTTTAGCTGAAATCATAAATCAGTATATTTGAACTGGAAGGAAAGAATTGCTAGTCGGTACCTTGTGCTTAGCGACCATCTTTGTTGAGTATTCCATCCACCGAGCTTGATCCACAAACGTTTTCATGAAGTATCGAATGCTCTCAACTGTGTAAAGCACCTAAAATGACAAATGGGAGTTGTCTTGATAAGTAACATAACCATTTCCGCTATATCCAACAATCGCTCTATCTGCGCAAAGCCGCTATATTTTACCATATTTATTTTCTTTCAAAATAGCTACATTGTGATGATTTTGAGTGAAGCTGTCTCCACGCGTTTGTTAAACTTGGTTTCTATAAAACTAATTTGAGGTTAAACGTGTACGTTGCATAAAACGGTACATCCGAATCTGTGCGCAGAGTCATATTATGCAGCACAGTCGTCTGAAACACACGCAGGAGATGCATCTGTCCTGCTTCTTTGTGATGGCACAGCCAGTAATTATGTAAACCTCCCTTAGATGATAAATTGTTCTACTTTTTCGGTTGCGCAACCAGTGACCCATTGGTGAAACTTATATAAAAATCACAACCTTTTTGTTTTCTTTTTCTTGTCAACGACAAAAAGCTACTTTGGCTAAATAATTACCCTTGACGGGTTAAAATGTTTGCCACTATGGTGTAATATTGTTTGTTGAGAAGTTCACTGCCTTCTCAATTTCACAACGCATAAACTTTTTTTTTTTTCAACGTGACTAGAGTTTTGTATCCTAGCTTGTGAAAAGACCCGTTTAAGTGCTCTGCGTCGGCTTAGTTGCCATAATTTTTAAAAAAAATGGTAGAGAAGGAAAATATTTCTTCTATTTATCACAAGGTGTAACGGTTAAAACAAGACAATTACTTCAAAACCGTTCTGTTACAAAGGAGAAAAAAAACAACGCAGCATGAGCACATAAATAGAAAGAAGAATGACATGGAAGAAAAAAAACGACGACACAGAGGACTTTAGGACAAAGGATGTTCACTCAGCGCTTCTCAGGAACTGTTCATGATGCTTTGTTCGAGCCTTCAGAGAAACAACAAATATCGATCTTTTTCACAGGTTCTTGCCTTCTCAATGCTTGGGCTGTAGAGCTTGCTGAAGACAACTTTGTAGGTGTGGAGCGCTACCAAGGGCATCGCGTCCTGGGCCAAATGCAAACACATCTTCTGTCTGGTGGTCGATTCGCCATTGGATTCGAATCTCCGTCGCAAGCGCAAGCGGGCAACGCTTCTCGCTCGTTCGGCCAAAAGCGGCGAGAGCGTCAGTGCCACCTGGAAGCCCACCAAGTTGAACACCGTGGAGCTGGGAAGATAAATATACGAAAAGTTTAAGTAGAAATTATTTAGGTGCTTTGCGTATTAGGAACATCATTCGAAGCAGGTTTATTTTTTTTCTTCTTTTTATTTTATTGAGGCAGTTAAATTGAATTGGGCTCCAAGGAACTAGGTTATGCTCCAATTTAACGTAAAAGCGAGTAAACCAATTCGCCTCTGAAACGTGACAATTGATCTAGTCGTCGAGGATCACGATGTGTTTTATTTAACACGGATATTGGGAAGAGCCTATTATTCTAAACTGCGTTAATGTCAATACAGCCCGAACGTTGTAACCGGTAAATATATCACGTTCACATGTAAGAAAAGCGCTGAGGCCGGTGGGCACCGAACTAACGTAACTCCTCGTCGCTCTTCTTTTTTTTTTTTTTGTAATAATTTTGACAAACTTATTTTCAGAAGTGTATTCACCGGACAAAACAAAACTGTCAAAGTGCAGCTTTAAAAAAAATTGTTTATCTATTTCGCCTCCCGACCACGGTCAAGACCGCGAGCAGAAAAGCGGAATCAAGGGTTTATGCTGTTTACGTGCCTGCACAAGTTTTTGACACAGCGTTGGTCTAAGCTGTTAGACATGGGAGAGCATTTGTGGGCGCTTGTGTGTTTTTGTTCGAGGTCGAAGACGCGTACATGCCGCTCCTAGCCTTGATTGTGAGCGTATTTCGGCTGAGAATAACTTAATATCATATTACTTGAACACCTTCGGAGAATTTGAAGATCTATCACTACACAAAAAAGTATAGGTAACGTTGCTTGCCTTGCCACTGTATTGAGGATCCTGGACATGTGCCCGATGTAAAATGGACTCCGCACTCTGATGAGCCCCTTGCTGCGGATGGTGGTGACACCCTCAAGTATTGTGTTCAGGAAATTAGACCAGTTCCACTGCAACGTTGAAAACCATAAAATTAAAATATATTTCTCTAAACTTTAACATAACTGTCTTTGAACTTAAGCTCTTTAAACTTAAACTTAAGCCTATTCTTTAAACTTCGCAGCATATTGTCTCAACAAAAAAAAGCCACTTTTAGTAACAGTCTGGTTTTGTTTACTTCCACTAGCGAAGCTAAAATTAACATTAAACGCTTAGTCCCAAGCTCGACATTATTCCTAACTGCAGCTGCGAATTGCGTCATAATTAAAACAAAGAAGAAAAAAAAGTTGTTTCAGTTATCGTTTGTAATTTTCCTGATCGTTCGTCTCTTGTTAAAGATTAGAATGCGTTTTGTATTGGCTTCAGAATTAGAGTACACCAATAATCTTGACACCGCCTGTAGCATATCTTTTTAATTTGTTAACTGAAATATTGGTCCTTCGTTTTAACCTTCGTAAGTTTGGTAATCATGTGCTTTAAATAGACGCACTTTTCGAAAGTGTAACGATACTTTACAACCCACACCACGCTGCAGGACGTGTTTTGATACATTAAGAGAAACAATTACGTTCTAAAACAAAACGTTACGTGGCTAACAATTCGAGACGCAAAATTTATTTTAAAAAGATTCAATAAATACGTGAGGTAGTACAAACATATGACGTCTTAAGAATATTATACAATTACTTCTTTTCGGCGCCGGCAAGAATAACTAAAACATAAACTAATATTTACCTATAAACACCTGGTTAAAGTTCCAATATCTGTAAACGAAAACTGTGCGTTTCTTATTTTAAAAGAAGAAGGTATTTCGGGCAGGCAACTGTCTAGAATAAATGGCAGATTAACTTAGCACACATTGCTTCATACTGTTTGAAAGACATAAGAGCTGGCGTCAAAACATGAAGCATGCAAGCGAGATATTTCAAGCTACACACAATAACCAAATAGCTGTCAGGCTACACGATTTTATTTATTGAGGTTTATATCCGAAGTAAAGTGGCCAGCCGCACTATTAATATTGCTCAAAAGATGCTTTATTTGTTCTTTATTTTGTTGTTTCCTTAGTCTTTGTTTGTAACGTGCGCCAGAAAAGTTAATGCTATATACGCAAACTATAATAATGTGCTAATGTTTGACAGAGTGACAACGTTTGGGCAATAAAATGTATAATTGGTCTAGTTGGCAGTACATGTTGAACCGATAAAGGGCCTCAAAATATATGGACACGAAAAAGAAGAAGCGCGTGGCCCTGTCCCATCTTTCTCGTATCCACGTAATTTTTAGTCGTTTTTTTTTTCAGTTAAATACTTGGGTAAACTCGAAAAAAGTCTAGAAGAGTGTCGAATGTAAAACATTTATTACCCTCGTTTTTGCTTGGAGGCTGTCCAAGCGCTCTCTCAGGAAGTGAGTGCCAATCTTCAGTCTCTCTTTGGGTGTTTTGGTTGACTGTAGACATAAAACAAAATGTTAGCTCGCGTTTTCTTTACGTACTGGTAAGATTTTCAATCTGTAGTCTATAATAACGAATTTAATCACACTGCTTATGGGCATGATATCGTTTTAAAATAAAGACCACGTTCAGCAAGTCTTAGCTTTGTTTTATGCCAGTAATGCAAATCTTAACTGCAGCTTCCCCGAGATTATATGAGCTCTAATTACTTTAAATAATAATGCGCTGACAATAAAAACAAAATAAAGTCAGACCCTTTTTATTTTTTTAGTGATGTCTTACCCGGGAAATTCGATGCACGAGGTTCATCACCTCGCCAGCTAAACCTTCCAAGTTTTCTTCCGGTTTCGTGAGAGCCATTGCACTTTTGATGACGTTCCTGTAGGCTTCCAAGTTCCGAGCGTTGCCCAGTAAATGTCCTCTTCGAATCGATAATTCTGGTTGGTCGACCTGGAAAGCATCGCATTTGCTTCGAACGGTTCTGGAACTCACATAAAGACATTTACTAAGATAAGCACTGAAGGCCTTAAGAAGGAAAATTAGTGGCAATGACATAAGTTGCAAAAGAGTTTAAATCTAAGCGACATTAAATATTATGCGTCCCGATCTTAAAAGACTAATCACTTTCATTTCTTTAAGTACAGGATATATTACGAAGCGCAGAGTAGCATTACGTAAAGCATATGTGTAACCTCGTTCTTTGAACTAAATGTTGAAATGTTTTTTACAAAAATCCTATAGATTTGTGCTGTGCATTGTAACAACGCACAATATGTATCTGGTCTCGCGACGTGCGCCTCGTAGCATTGTAGGAAACAAATGAAGAATTTATAGTGAACTAATTTTCTTACGCTTAACTTTACAGTTAAACATTGCGTCTCACGCATTCTTTACCTATGTTTCAGCCGCCACAACTACAACGTAGAAAACAATTATTTATAACGTCAACAAATGAATCACTGTGTATTAGAGAGAACTTTAATGGCCGGTAGAGATTAATTGAGTCAATAAGTTTGTTATATACCTTATTTTTATTTTAACTAAAATATCAAGCGCCGAAACTAATGATGGAGAACCGCATAATTGTTCTTGCGATTTTGCAACTAAGAAACCAAGTCATCGCCGCAGCAACATTAAGGCCCTTTAGCGCACTTACAACCAACTGCGACCGCGTGAGACGAGAACAGTTTCTAAGCCTATTACGACGGCGCAGCACCTACTCCGCACCAGCGCATCTATGGACTCCACCGTCGCAAGAGGCTTGAAACCCGGTCTTGTCTCCCTCGGTCTAGGTTTCCAAGTGTGTGAATGATTTTCAGACTTTGGCCAATTAACTGCGGAAATTAATCTCTCTCACTTATGAAACGAAGAAGAGAAAACCGTATTTTCTTGCAAGCGCCAGTTTTTATCTAAAAAAAATGAAACAAATTGAAGGTCAAAGTACCTCTCAACTGTCCACGTCGCCTTTCGATTGGCGTACTCTGGGAGATCACGTAGTTTCCCCTTGGGTTCTCTCTTCAGAGACCCCAGCCGCTTCCACGGCGATTATCAACTTTTAAAGGATTAGCATCGTCGAAGGTCGCAGCGAGCGATCGACACAAAAGACCGTTCACCACGGCGGTGACGGCGAGTGCAGCAGCGGAGGGGAACAGGTTTTGTTAACTTCCGCGTATCCCCCCGAGTACGTCACACACCAGTTCCGTTAATCACCACGAGCGGCTGCAGATCGGCAAATATTTCGCTATCTTCTTTGCAATTACGCACCGAAATAGCAGTTTTTCGAGGCAAGGTGACGCGTTTTTGGCCACTTGTGCTTGGATAAACAATATAAAAAATACAAATGGCCAATTTTTTCAGCACTACAATCATTGCACTACCCTTGAGACCTCTATTATATCAAACCAAATGAAAAAAGGTGGTTCACTCCTCTGTTAAAGCAAATAATAAAACTCTCCTTATTTCCCAAACTTTTTTTTCTCCGCTCTAAGAAACGCTTACGCGTCTACTTACCCGCAAAACGTTCGAAGATCCACTCTCTGTGATCTACGAGATCAACTCAGTGAATGATGAGGCGGAACATACGTTTAGATGTCAGAATGAAGTATGCGCTGTGGCATTACGCAATGCAAAACGTCATGCTTGCATCGCGTAATGCCACAGTACAGACTATATTTTTAGGTCTAAACGGATGTTCCACCTCATCATTCGCTGAGCTAATTTCGTAGATGACAGAGATTGGCTCTTCGAAAGTTTTGCGGGTAAGTAGACGTGCAGGCATTTCTTTGAGTGTCGCTCGCTTTTACTTTTAGAGCGCAGCTCTTAGGGGCCCGTTTCCGGCTTGAGCGGCGTCGGCGTCGGCGTCGGCGTAACCGCGAGGTCACGTGACACCCCGAGGTCACGTGACCCCCCCCCCCCCCGAGGTCACGTGACCACCCAGGTCACGTGACACCCCTAGGTCACGTGACCCCCGAGGTCACGTGACCCCCTGAAGTCACGTGACCCCCTTGAGGTCACGTGACCCCCTTAGTTCACGTGGCCCCCTTAGGTCACGTGACCCCCTTAGGTCACGTGACCCCCAGAAGTCACGTGACCGCCTTGAGGTCACTGACCCCCTAAGGTCACGTGACCCCCTGAAGTCACGTGACTTCTGGGGATCACGTGACCCCCTAAGGTCATGTGACCCTTCAGGTCACGTGACCCCCGAGGTCACGTGACCCCCAAAGGTCACGTGAACCCCTGAGGTCACGTGACCCCATGAGGTCACGTGACCTCAAGGAGTCACCTATCCCTCAGTACGCTTCCATCTTCCTCCTCAAGAGCTGCGCTCTAACCGGCGTTACAGGGAATTGTAAACGGCTTTCATTTTTTTTTATCACAATAAAAGTAGAGAAGGCCTGTCAACATTAGTTAAAAGATAATATATAATCTTTTTTACCAACCGTGATTATATTTCCCGATTTGTTCGCCAAGTCCCACCCCACGGAGATGGCGAAGAGCGTGGATTCGCCCAAGTCACGGGTCACGCGACCAGCGACCACTTCAACCTTAGACTCCGTTGCGCGGACGGTGGGCCAATCTCGCAAGCCCAGGTCAGCCAGGACACGCTTAAGCGGCTTCATGCCCACATTGTCGATGTTCTCTGCGAATCAGACGCAGACTTTTGTTGTTTTGTATCAAAAACACTTTATTATCGAGGGGGTGTTTAGTTAAGATCATACATATAATTCTCTCTAATGATAAATGTGTGGGATGACATCTGGTTGTCCTTTTAGATGACACGAAATACCGTTTTTTTACTCGAAGCACCCGTACTTCACGAAAGATAGCAGAAGTTTCAGTTTCGTACTCTTCGGATGACTGTTTTACTTGGCCCGTAAACATAAACACTACATCTCCTCATAACTGGAAAATATATAGTATTCATTTTTTTTTCGTAGATGTAGATTAATTCGAATATGTTTTGGTTTAGAGTGGAAACCGTGCTGACAAACTTTCGGCCGAATCGAGACTATCGAATGTTCCCTCATGTAGAACATCACAGTCCACGATGTCGGATTGGAGAAATATAACACCTCTCAGAGCCAGATTCTTGAGAATCACGCACTGAAATTTGAGTTTCAAAGTATAACAAAATATATTTTTCATTCGTGCTACAGAAGCGCACGGCGATAAAGGGGCATGCTAGATATTTACTGGTGCGGCTGGTTACACCGTAAAAGCAGCTTTTAGAGCCACACCTTGAACTTGCATCACTAAACATAAACAGCAGTTTCGTATACCGAATGTCTTATATATATATATATATATATATATATATATATATATATATATATATATATATATATATATATATATATATATATATATATATATATATATATATATATATATTTTTTTTTTTTTTTTTTTTTTGTGCCCATATAGGTATCCTAATTAAGACTACGAAAGTTTTCCCTTTATGTTTTGTTTTACAATTCAGTTTCTTGTCATATTCACTTAAACGTATCGACACTGGCGTTGCTGCTTAAGTACAGCAGTCGGATTTTTTGTTGCATTCTCACCTTTCTGCTCGCACCCACGAACGAACGACACAAACTTATTTATGGCCGACATGTTTCGAGTTGTTTCCTTCTGAATTGGTCCTGAAGGTCCCGCTGTAAAAATATTTGCACATATTAACGTGACACTCCCTCCACTTCAACAAACAATCAGAATAGTTGCAGATATCGCATATCACTTATAACTCCACTAAATTTTAAAAAGAAACCTCCGTGAGTTTTCTTTTCTCCAGAACACGAAAGGAGCCACCCACGGTGATCCATTGAAGAACCATTGAAGACCCCCTTCAAATGACGAAGCTTAGAATGCGACTACATCTGAAAAACGCAATGTGCATGGGGGCAATGCGCAAGTGAAGCGTCATGCTCACAGTTGTCCTCGGTCTAATTATATTCTCAGCTTTGACCTTTGCTGAAACCGTTGCATTGTTCCTCGTGATTGGCGGCCTCCTTGAACCTGAAAACTGATCTCAGAAAAGCTTGTTTCGAGATTATAATATGTGGCAAGGCGATGGTTTATGAAACAGAGAAGATTATAAAGTTAAAAGTCTGCATGCTGCATGCAAAATGAGAAAAATATAGAATTTGTTAAATATATGCGCCCTTTCGTTTCTACTTATAATAGTCGTAAAAGAGCTATTCGCACGCACTTTTACCTCTCACAGGTGTCGACATGCGTGAGAAAAAGATACATGCGACACGAGCATAAACAACTCAATAACAATGCGGCAGTATGAATCCGTCTCGTTATTTCTAATAATACGTCCCTGGCTGCTTTTTATGCAACGTTGTTGCGCTTTAGAAAGACAATAAAACGAATTCTGTTTGTACACACTCTACACAAGTTTACAGGCGCAAGCCTGACGCAAGTCACGTAACACGTAAAACAGCTTAACCGTAATCTTCCAGTCTCAGATAGCATTTCGTAGGCTAATATTTAGGGCTATGCAAATACCGCTTCGAATCGATATATCGCAGCGTCATTCCTAGCTTCCACATTGTGAAGGGAAGCGGCATGTCGTCACGCTCTACAAAAAGCCCGTGCGTCTAGTTTCCCGCACAACACTCGGAGAGCCAATCACCGGAACCTACGGAGGCAGCTCAGCGAATGACGATGACGAAACATGTGTTTAGACTAAAGGACGCAGTTTGAGTTGTGACATTAAGGAATACAAGCGTGACGTTTTGCATTGCTTAATATCCCAACTCAGACTGCGTTTTTGGTCAAAACATATGTATCGGCATACTCAGTCGCTGAGATGCCTCCGTAAGTTGCAGTGAGTGGCTCTCCAATTGTTGTGCGTGAAAGTAGACGCACGGGCTTTCTTTAGGGTCATATATGCTGTAAATGACATAGTCCTATTCGAACTGATATCTTGTTCGACGTACAGAACAGGATATTGTGTCGTGTTCTGTACGTGCAGAGAGAACGGACCAAGTCAAGCTTCCTCTTGAAAGTCTTTTATGCAATGTCTTCGCTACAAGTTTTTGTTAAAAAAATCACTTCTTTTTTTATATTTTCATCCTTTATTAAATATTACTCGGAAGGAGCATAAAGAAACCAAAAGCCAAAAAAGCGCAAACCTTCGATGAAGGCTGATAGACTGGCCTCGATGCGCTCCTTAAGCTCCAGGTTGTGAGAAGTCTTGGAGGCACCGGCAAGAATGGGGTTCTCCCGAAGCCAGCCGTGGCATACGTAACTATAGAAGTCCTCGCAGGGGCCCACAGCGCTTTTGTTGACGCTCTGCATAATCCTCTCCGCTGCGAGCGCCACCAAAAGTTACGCTCCAAAAAACATCCGTTTTATACTTCGTTTACTACAAGGCGTATAGTGCAGCCGACGAACAAATTGGATCCGATCAAACAGCGTCAGAGGCGCAACGTCATGGCGTTCGTGATTCGTACGTACATGTTCTATAATCGGCTAAGCCAGTCAAGTGTATTTGCGCTTTTAATATGCGTGGGCCTGGTTGTATATGGTTGATCCTTCGATTGCGTCCGACAGAATGAAACAAGTCACGGACAGCTTAAAAAACGCAGAACATTTTTTTTTATACCGTGCACCTTATTATCGCGACGCAACCAATAAAAAATTCGGGGCATTTGACAATAAGAACCCAAAATAACGAGTCACGAAACAAGAACCGTGAAGATAATTGGGCATGCCCGGGTGTTCTTAGACTTTCAGTTACAAGGCTTAAATTTAAAATTTTCGGAACTCTTAGCGCCAATGTACAAATCGCATAAATTTACCAAATCCAAATACGACATCCAAATTGTTTATCCCATCTTTACCTTTTTACTGCCTTTTTTGTCTATTTACCTTTCATCTTTATATTTTTTTATTTACTTAATGATATTGCTCACCTCGTAGAGGCTGAGCAAAATTTGTAAAAAAAAAAAAACTATAGTGAAAAAGCGAAGATCTATCGGCAGCAGTCTGCTGCAGTGCGATGCACAAACAAAAGTATTTTTATGTAGCCAGGATGCTGGGTCGTCAGTACAGCAGCAAAACAACTCTCTAGCAAAAACCCGCAAACAATACAAATCGATAACTTCAGAAGAGGAAAACACCGACAGAATAAAGAGAGGGAGGGGGGGGGGGCATTTATTTAATATTGTTGGGTCACTTAACGCGCTTTCAGCTTCTACATCGTTCTATAGATGTCGACTCCCAAGCCCCGTACTTTGTCTAGAATTAATCAAAAAGATATCAAGCTTCGTCTCTGATCATCATTTTTTTTTTCTTCTGTGCTTTAGGAAGTTAGTTTTTGTAATCATTTTGCTCTTACCTTCCCTGTTGCATTGATTGGAGGAACAAGAGTACGCCATCTTGTGGCGATGGTGGTGATCTTAAGATACCAAGAAAAAACACGTGATTTAACGGTGCATTTTATTTAGTTTTAAAGTTTGACTTTAGACAAGAAAGAAAATACTTCGCGAACTTTCTCGCCACAAGTCCTTGGTATTACTTTATATTTAAAAAAAAAAAAGAAAAGAGCGAGAGAGGGAGAGCATAAACTAATATTTTTAATTCCATGTACTGAAATAACTTTTTTACTATGGAGGACTTCAATCATTTGCAGTTATGAGGTGCTGCAGATTGGTACTGACAAAATCGAAAAGAAACAAATATTAATGGCTATTTCACAAACCTTTCAAAGGAAAAAGATGAAACAGGCATTCAGTCGATCGTAAACTTACCTTCCTGGAGATTTTTTGCGATTATCCGTCTTACGTTAATGCCGATGTTTATAGAAAACTGCATAATTCTGCACTATTGAATCCCATAATAACACTGTTGCATTTAGCTATCATAGCCTTTGCATGCGACGTGCTCTAATTGTGAGAAATGCTGTCTCTAGCGTTCCCGATCCGTGGCGCCAAATAATGAAATATTTGAATATATAACGTCGCAATATTGTCTTATCCAGCACGTCTATAATTCCAAATGTATAAAGACCAAGCCTTGATAAACCTATTACATTCGGCAATCAATATTTCTTGAAAGTAAATATATGGTGCTGCGAGGCAACACCTCATTGTGTTAGAGTAACTGTAGAGGTTCTGCTTGCAGAGCTAGAGTATCGCGCTCCTTTTCCTTCCGCCGCCAACTTCGTATTAACAAAGAAGCGGTCGCGTGGACAGGGCTGGATCCGATTATCCTGCGGGAAAGCGACCTTGCAGGCACCAACTTTTGGGCGAATAATTTTTCTCGCTTTGCATTTGCGAAGTATACATCCTACACTAAAATAGAACAAACTGCAAGGTTCGTTGACCATTCAACATTATGTGTAGCCACTAGATACAGTATAATCACGTCGTTTAATAACGCGAGCCATGTTTGAAAACATGTTTTCAAAGCATGGAAAAAAGACGACACCGAGGAATATCGCGTAGCTCTCGCATCCGGGGCTCTTGAAGAAGCGACGGTCGGTTCCCACAGTGCGGCCTTGGATCCAACATGGCCGCCCTGCAGGCACCATTGCGGTACTCTTCTCCGCAAGGTGGATCATATACAGTTACTCTAGTGTGGGTTTGCTTGCTGTTCCCTCCATGTGATGGAACCACCACCCCGTGTTGTGTATGTATTGTTTAGTATGAAGGGATTATTGGGATATGGTAAAGGGATTCATTGCAATATTGTAATATTGCAATAAATATAAAACATAGTAAAACTTTCGTAGCCGAGCCTGTAGCCTAACACGTTGAATGCTTCAGGTGCTGGTTATAACTGCTCAACGTTATAAAGCAAAATATGCGTTAAAAAACATTTCATTTATATTATTATAACTAATATTTTTTTTTATAATTCCCAAGCCAAATTGATGGTCCCGAACGAATCTTAAAAGAAACAAAACAAAAAAAAATCTCACCCGCAATGCTTCCGACCTTTTCTTCAACATTGACCGCTGAAGCTGAAAAATAGATACGAATTTACTGAAAATAAAGCTTTATATTTTTGACTAGACAGTCCACCCTATGAATGACGTTCCAGGTTAGTATAAGAATACGTGTTCGTAACAATAAAGGGAAGGTATAAGCGTTTTAAAAGAAACAGAATAGTTCGAACTTGTGGCCTTCGATGTACCAATATTGTGAGGGAAAGGTAATATTGAAACCACTTACTCTTCTTATTGAGTGTAACGACGGTAATTAAAGCAGTAACCAGAACCATTCCGAAGATTGCGGCGCTTGAGGCTGACACGACTGCACATCTTTTCGGAGTGAGCCGACGACGTGTCCAGCTGTAAACCCGTCAATGAAATATAAAATTAATTTGAACATAAACACCTCAAGAACGCTCATACCGTTGTTTTTGTTTTTGGATGGGTGTTTACTTACCTGCTTTGGCTCGTGGACGGAAGTGGCGGGATGAGATCCCCGAAGGTCAGAACGGGTTCTTCAGGTTGCTCTCTTCTGCGGACGTTTAGTGGCGATGTTCTTGTGTGGAAATAAAAAGCGAGCAGCCGGCTTCCCGGCAAGCCTGTTTAACAAGACAAAACAAGTAGGACTATTCTTATTGCCCGGTAGGTCAAGATTAACAGTCTGGGCTCGTTCGTTGTCTCGTTTCCTTTCAGAGGGTACGCTTAATTTGGTCATGGCAGCTTCATAGCGACTCAATGCCGCTAACGCGATATTCATAAAACAAAATACTCGCTGAAAAGTAAATTTATCTTGTTCGGAACTTAGAAACTACTGTAAAATCAATAGTTATAGATGAGCGCAAATAAAAAATCGTTTTGCGATGCGGCATACCGCCGAAAGGTTTCTCCTGTAGTAAAACAGCTGTACCGAGAAAGTGAGGGAGACTAGAAGACAAGGACGCGCGGAGACGTGAGAACACTGAGCTCTGATCCGAATGATTAACAGTGCTGGAACTAACGCGTTACAAGTAACGACGTTACTGGCAACGCGTTAGTTTTTTACTAACATACTAATGTACTCGTTGGTATCCCAAATGACTAACGAGTAATGTCGTTATTATTTTACGGTATTTTCTATCAAATGACGTTACCCGTTACTCGTTATTTTTGATTAAAAATGGCCGCATGATTGTGTGAAAACAAAATAATTTTTATTTTGTACAGTGCGTAAAAGTGGCAAAAAAAACCCTAAAAAGCTACGTAAAGCGGCGTCATTTTAAGCACTTTCGAAGGACACTTTTAACGTTCCCACGACCGGGCCTTAAAGGCGCGAGATTATCGCTGTGCAGAACCCGTAGGAGTTCTGGTGCAGTCTTTGTATAGAAGCTGCTAAGATTACCACTGCTTTGTCAACAGCAGAACACGACGTTAGTTAACTAATCATTTCTCCCATAATACGCAATCAAGCATCCACTACTGCACTGGAAGTGCATACCTCTGAGTAAGATGACATCATGATTGACAAACTATTGATTCATCTTAGTCATTCAAGTGATAGCAATACAAGATTTTTATAAGAAAGAGTGCAAGTTGAACGTTGACTTCGTTTCGCTGCTCCCTCTCTCTTCTAAGAGTACAGCTGTAGCCATCACCAACAGAACACAACTAAACTTGAAACAAACAACGGTTGTCCAAGTTCATTGTTGTTGACTAGATTCATTTTCTCAAACAAGAAGCACGTTCTAAAGCAGTAGGTTATTTGAGGCTACTCTGAATCCACGCTTCAGTCATTTCCGCCATCGTATATGATATCAAGTCCTTAGAGATCAAGGTTGGACTGCACAAACATCAGCTTTTGCACTCAGTGTCCCTTAAGCCTGTTCCTACTTTTGGGGTGTACAGTGCCGAACTTCGACCAGTTACTTTTGCACGAAGCGGTGCACGGTGGAACTTAAAGTAGGCGTCAAGGAAGTGGTGTCGGTGGCTTAGATGCACACCGATCTTGCCACCGCGTGAATGGTTGGATATGATTTGCCGAATCGCCCAGTTCCTTCCTTGACCACGAACTTAACAGGGTTCTGTATTCAGCGATATTTCATGGCATAGATCATCTTATGCTGGTTGATGGACTACTGAGTATGCTGGTTGATACAAAAGAGCAAACTCTTCAAGAGTTTGCGCTTTCGTTTTCCGGCAGTGGACGTTCTGGCCGCACAACTTCCGCCGAGAAGCTTCTTCATAAGGGATACGTCATTCCAGATTCCGATCTTGCCAATTTGGCTGATGCTGCAGCAGGTCAAATATCCAGCGGTCTCTTCGAACATCTTGCGATTCGAAGCCTCAAAAAGGTGGCGTCTGGATATTCGCACTTGGGACAACAAAATCCACGCACAATTGGCAGTTTACCGTTTCTGAACACATCGAAGTTGATCCTAATATTTGAACGGGCTCTCACCATGGCAGAGGAAAGTTCCAACATCCAAGCAAACGCTGCTCCCGACTTCCGAGAACTTAGCGCGTAGCGCACAAGGATTTGCAAAGCTAAAGCTACCTATTGCGATCTACCTGTCGATTGAAATAAATTATTTTAGATTTACCCTTGGAACCATGTTTCTTCTCTTTCTTTTAATAGAAATTTCCAAATGAGTTCGCAAAAAAAAAAAAAAGTTTTGCTGTTATGCATTTTGTCGCGAGAAGTAAGATCAATATTTTTTTTCGTATTTTAGCAATCCAAATGAGTATTTAAATAGTGGCGTCTTAGAACTGAAATTATATTTTTCAGTCATGCTACGTCAACTTTAAGGCTAACATTGAACAAAAATGTGTCTGGTTGGGTAGAATACTATAAATAAAAGATGGGTTCCCTATTAGCCTCTGGTTAGAGGTGTCTTTTTTTTTAATATTCATAATTTGTTGCCCTTCATATGCGACCAACAGTTGCCCAAAGAGAAACAAAGTTTGCACAGTACCTGGACAAGGTTCGCTGACGGATTGCTCGCGGTCCATTGGTAGTAGTAAAAGGAATCACTACGTGAACGCAAAGATATACAAATTAAATATAGCAATTATATTTGTCTTTGTACAAGGCATTACGTCTCGTGAGTTTTTATATTGCGCTTCTGGTGGATCCTTTGCATTACAACATGATTTAAAAACCTTAAACGACTTTAATGTATGTTTTAGTTTCGCGAGACGCGATTGAATGTAGAGTTAAGAGACCAATTAATCCTACTTTTCGCAACAAAATTGCTCAGATCTTGAGCAGTTATATTCAAGCAGCACAAGGAGCGGAACACCAGTGACCGTATCGTCTTTATTTAGGAATGTGTAACGTCACATTTTGGTTTTCACGATGCCAATTAGTTTTATATAATTTAACCAACATTTAGTTCAAACACATCACGACTTTGCAGTAAAAGAATAATTGAGCGCGTTCTGAACAAATAATTTCATGGCGAAATAGTA